AGAGACCTTCCTGGTTTGGCCACTCGCGTTTCACGCGGATAAACAAAATTTTACCCACTCAACAGTCACGGAAGGTCACGAAACAAAGGCTTGGCAACAAACCCATGCGAACCTGCAGATTCTTTAGGGACCCCGAAGCGCTGCTGCCGTGCCACACGGCAGTGCAGATCGATATACCGCGGTCGAGGTGTGGCACTGAGGCCCTGGCCGAGCTTCTCCACACCCTGAGGTGTTTTTGAGGCAAAACAAAAACGCCCAGCAGGAAGAACTGATGGCAAGAAGTCTATTTGGTCATATAGGGTCACATTTGTTATATATGATTAATACTCGGATAATCCAGGAGACCCTAAATTAATACCACCGTGTCCACCCTGTGGATGTCAATGGGCCAGGGTCTTCATGAACCACGTCGATGGTGGTGGGTTACAGTAAAATCGTAATAGCATGTAATTCATTATGTTTTGAAGACATTGCAAGTAGGCTTTGTGGCTAGATGTGGCTAGGAATGGGCATTTGTGCGATGCATATGTTGATTCTTGGTCATTTGACAGGTCTCCAAAGATTCGCATCCTATGAGATGCCACCCTCAATGCCTCATTCTCGTCCAAGTTTTGTTCCGTCTTGAACGGGCTGCAGCCGCAGGTGAAACTGAAGTGATCACGTCAGAGCAAGTCAGAAGGCAATGATCAAAAGGGCAATTACATGCAATTACCAACACCAGGATAAAGACACAGTACCACCATCCTTCACAATTCCATGATGTGAAAGAAAGACCTGTGTGCTGTTGCCATGACCGCTCAGTGTATCATCCCACGTCAATCTGTGTGGAAAGCACTTGGTGGTGGATCTCTCCGTCTGGATGTCGGACTTCGTCTGCACGAAGTTCGCATCGGTCAGGAGTCAGGAAGTTTCCATCATCACCCGTTTGTGCGCGCCCACACGGCGTGCCCACCATCACGATGCGGGCGAAAACAGGGATGCGTCCATTCCCACCACTCTGACTGTGTTCTTTGCAATCACCCTGTTTGGATCCCACCATGTTTGTTGTTTGATTGCAACAGAACTCCCTTTGTTCTGAATGTGTGATCATGTTTGATCCCTTTTTGTGGGGGAAAACAGAACGATGGCTTCTGGCCCAAGGACCGCAATTGGCGACAGCGCCTGGTAGGCTTTGACGACTTGGTCGGTGAGCCAACAATCCCCTGGCGGTGGGCGTTCCGGAGCACGGGCGGTACACCACCACCGGTGCTGTTCGGGAAGAGTCACATTGCTGGGGCCTGAGGTTTTGGATTCCAAAACAGCGGCATTTTGCAGCAGTATCTCATGCTGAGTTCCTAACTTGACAGGAAGCACATGAACATTGAGTTGGTGGTTCAAACCCATGCATGGGTCGAAACCAGAAACCATAGAAGAGCATAGGTTCTGATCGGGCTTATAACATCTTATAACATATGTTCCTACTTCTTCTCTTTTCCCAGTCGCTGCCCGAGACGAGCGGGGAAGCACTCGTCTCACGTTGGGAAGCACGCGTCTGGTGTTGATTTCGTGGGCCTTGGGGTATTGACTTTGGCCATGCTTGCTCCAGGTAGTGTTGTGAAGTCATTGGTCCTTCAGCAAACAATCACCCAAACCGACAAATTGCTGCCTTCTCCCCCAAACCCTGAGTTTCACATCTGTTTGGGCGGCAATGTCACATACCGGCTGTTGCGGTCGCTTTGCAAAGCAACAGGACATTGAAGGAAACGCACAACAGTAACAGGACGCTTAGGAAGACATTGATGCTCAACATGGCTATAACCTTCATGTTAAAATCCGTCCCATGGACAAAGCTTTCGCGAGTGCCACTCTCGAGTCGCACTCCACCTCGGTCCACACGACCGGGGGTCGTACCATCGACTCGGGTGCCAGGTTCCCTCGGGTTCCCTCGGGTTCCCTGTTCCCCCCCAAGACAGAAGAAAATGGACGCTTGGTTTGACCCGTTTCCTCCACAAACAGGGGGTGAACTCCACTTCCATGCGAAGAGCGGGACAGTGGACCGGTCTCGCACGGCGTAATATCGTCGGAAGATCGAGATCGAGGTGGGAACGGCGCAACAAATCAAAGGCTTCAATTAAAGACCCAAGTAGCTGCCTCACATGAGCTGCCTGGTAGTGGTGATGATGATGATGGTGGTGATAGTGGTGGTGGTGATGATGATGGTGGTGATAGTGGTGTCTGTTCAGTAGGAAGTGCACTCTTGAAACCTTTGAGAGGCCAACATGCAGTTCTCCAACCATGGAATTAATATGTTAATGTTGCGTGAGTCCTCGGTGTAATTCGTTGGCGACAACGTGAGAGGGAACTTAATATGTTTTTCCTCACACCTCAAAACTGCATCCCATTGGACAACCGTTTCAGAATATGTCGTGCAGAAGTCCATAATCACCAAAACCACTCCCAAACCAGAAGATGCAAGGGTGGCGCCTCTTCTGCGTGGGCATGGTGTTCGCCAACTCTGACGTTCCATTTGACACCAACCAACAGGGTCCACCGTCTGCCTGGAGCGGAGGTGTAGGTCAACTCCTGAATCTTGCGGACGACCTGCGGAGCGTAGAACAGGTCACCATCCGAACCACCAAAGCGAGTCAACCTGAGCGACCGGTGCTTGCGCCGGTTTCTCCAAGAAACATACTTTAGAGGACCTAATTATATGCCTGGTAGTATAGAGTCTGAGGTGATTGTTGTTGGGGCATTTTGGGGCTGGTGCTATAAGCCAAGGAGTCACGGAGGGGTTAACAAGTCTCATTGCGAGTCTACTGGGTGAACAAAAGTGAAAACACATCTCTTGGTTGCCAAGGTATGTTGAGAAACCAATCAAAAACCAAAAGTGCAGATGCACGGTCCATGTTAGGTTTACAAAGTGGTTCATGAATGGTTATCCAAGCTGTTGTCTCTGACGGTACAAACTTGGGGCAATACCATGTAGAGTCCATTTATTTGGTTTGGCCACATTGCTGTGCGCAAGTGGGAGGAACTGGGACATGTTCAACATTCTTTAACGGTCCATCGCCCCCAACGACCCACTCACCGTTAACTGTAGCCTTAGTGGGCTAAACACCGCGTGCCGCGCATCGTACTACCGATCTTGAGGTTGTGGCCTCTACTGAATCCCCGAACCATTTTCAGAACAATAAACCTTTTCCACCTGTGCGTGTTCTTGTTTAGTGGGGAAACAAATCGTTAAAAAGTTGAATGTTACCAGGTTATCCGCCAATTGGGCAAAAAATAGTCCATTTTTCCATATCGGGGGTTTGGTTGGTTGCTTGGTTCGGTTTACCACATGCCAGTGAAGAAACACAACAATACTTGAGAGAGGAGGGGGTGAACGAAAGGTAGCAGGCAATCACAAGCAACCCTGCTAAAATTCCATGACGGCGTGAACCGGCGGAGGGGGGATTTGATCCAGGGGGGCCCCCCCCCCCCCGACGAACAGAATCAACTCTTACAGGACCAAACTCAATGCACAATCCCAACTCCTGATTGTAATACATTTTTGCTAAAGCAAGGAGAACTCAGGTAGCTCAAGCTACCTTTCGTGATTTCTTGCGTTTGAAAACCCAGCTGTTGGCAACAATTCGGTCCACATGCCTATTTGGGGTTTACTTTGTTACAAGTGTGAGTGCAATCCTTATAATAGTATTATCATCCACTGTTGGTGTGTCCTGTGAAGAAAGTTTTGTGTTTGCTCACCAAACCTTTTCCCTCGCATTGTTGGCGAGTCTATTGATGGCAACGAAATTGTAGACGCTGAGGGGTCAAGGAGGTGTCTATATATTTGGCATCACGAGGTCATCATCTGACATTTCTTTCTGTAAGCTCCGCTGCTGCAGCCTTGTGGCTCTAAACCGAGACAGGCAGCTTACAGCCAAGGGCGTTCTCAAGGATCGGATCAAATACTTTTGATGTTGCTCAAGGCCTTGGTGAAGGTGGCTAGTGGTGTTCTCTTCGCATGGGTTGTCATGGAAGCGCCGGCTATTCCTGCAGCAGATTGTTTTGCGTGAAAATCCAGCAATCATCATATCCAATCGGCGCCGCCAGCAGCCACTGCAGGCAAAAGGTCTCCGCAGACCTGTTGTTTTGGTTCGAAACTTGATACAATCTACTTTACTTACAAGGCCCTTACACAGCACCCGAAAATTAGCAACACCATGTTTAGTCTATGTTTTGTTTTAAAACAAGTTGCGCAAAAAATCTGAGCCAACATCCAAACCCAAACTTTTAAGTCTAAAACAAACCACAAACCATAAAAATACCTATTTTCAAACCATGTTCAAATAGTTTGCGCAAGAAAAAGATGACACAGCGTAGCTCCAAACCCCAAACTTTAAGTTTTAACAAAGCAACATCATAAGTTTATCTAGTCAGTTTCAAACCAAAACATTAAAAAGAACACAACGAGAAAAATTATAGGAGCGGATAACCCCACATGTGAACAACTTTACCAGAGACCACCTCTGTAGCAAGAAGAAGCAGCAGCGCGGTGAGAGAAGAGGGGTCAGAGGAAGGAAGAGAGTGAGCGAGCGTTGATGGGGCTGGTGGTTGTTGGTTGGAAGTTGATGGTTTGCCTCATTGTGTCTGCATGTGTATGCAGATGCGTGTGTGCATCTGAATGGTGATGGAGCGCGCAGGTGATGGATCACGTATGCATAATAGAGGACAGCAATGCGCTGGTTGGTGGTTGGTTGGTTGGTTGGTTGGTTGGTTGGTTGGTTGGTTGGTTGGTTGGTTGGTTGGTTGGTTGGT